TATTAGTATGAGCTTCAGTATAGAAGTTACTTCTGCTAAATAGATCCAATTTGTAAATAGTGACAAAGAGTCCTGTGGCACCTTATAGACTAACAGAAGTATTGGAGCAAAGCTTTCTCACCCACGAAAGCTTATGCTCCAATACTTCTGTTAGTCTATAAGGTGCCACAGGTCTCTGTTGCTTTTTACAGATCCAGACTAACACGGCTACCCCTCTGGAATTTGGAAATAAGTATTCATTCTTATAAATTATCAGTAGCATTACTCACAGCACCAGTTTCATCTTTAAGTGTTGAAATTCTTCCACTCAGTAAACTGAAAAGCATAAAATATTTGTTTGAGTTATTATGCAGTCTAGAAGGAGAGAGCATTAAACATGTGCAGAAGTATTCTAACACTCCATTATACAAATAACCCAACTATATTTCCGTGACTCAAAGTTAGAAATCCCCTAATAACTGAGCAAGCGTAAAGCTCCAAATCTTCCGGGCAATAGGACTATGAATTCTTCATGATCTCTGGAAAGAAATTAATGAAAAACTCATCCAGACACCTTTTGTTGCTCTGATTTATACTCCAATGCTATTGTACTAGCGTAAAAATTAGCAATCTGCTGAGATCCTTTAGCATGGAAGATAGGGAGTTGCATGGCAGGAAGGGGGTTGGTTCCCTGTGCTGCCTCCTCCTCCGTATGGCATAGAACAGGAGGACATCTCCCTGGAACTCCATTTACTTCACGGTTTCAGTGTAGCTGCCAGAGACATTGCTGCCCAGCAGCCTCATTCACAAGGATTCTTCTTTTATCCCCTTCAAACATGAAAGGCAGAAAGCCATGGTGACATGAAAATTCCACCATCGCTTATCTCCCTCTGTGAAGATACCAGCTGCCAGGGATAAGAACTTGGAGTTCTGACAGCCTGTTGCTAGGTGAAGGCATGGTGGATTAGCCACTGGGCTGACGGGGCCCGTGCTCAGGGGCCCTGGCCAACCGGGGCTCTGGAAAAAAATCTGCCCTTGGGTGGCAGAAGCCAGGAGCCCCACCTGCCGGGCTGGAGGGAGAAGCCCCCATACCCTGCCCCCTGGCAGCAGCATCAGGTGGGCAGGGTGGGGGATCCTCCCCCAGAAGCCCTGGCTCAACCCCATTCCCCAGCAGAAGCCGCAGGATGGGGAAAAGTCCCCCATAGCGGACCCCATCCCCAACAGAAGCCAGTGCTCCCTACTCATCCCCCGGCAGAAGCCGTGGGGTGGCGGGGAAGCCCCCACACCCAACCCCGCCCTCCAGCAGAAGTGCTGGGCAGGTGGGGTGTGACAAGCCCCAGTGCCCCAACCCTGGTCCCCTGCAGAAATACCGGGGAAGCCCCAGCACCCAGACCCCCGCTGTGGCCCTGGGACTGGAGGAGCTCTCACTCCCTACTGCACCCTGTGGCGCAGGGGACAGAGTTTCTCTGGTCTTGGGGCCACGGGGGGCGGGGAAAGGTGGGCAGAAAGGAGCAAAAGATGTTGGGAGGCTGCAGCGGGAGGCAGAATGGGTGGGACCCTGGGTGGAAGAGAGGCGGGCCCTGGGGAAGGGGCAAAAAGGGGTGGGGCTGTGGACAGGGCCACAGGCAGAAGAGGCGGAACAGGGGTGGCCTGCAGGCAAAGGAGTGGGAAAGGGCCCCCCACTTGCTCTGGCCCAGGGAAACCTTAATCTGCATTTGGGTGAAGGGTAGTCGAGGAAAGAGAGCGTAGCTGGAAGAAACCATGGTTTTTCCTAAAAATAATGATGAAAAGCCCAGTATATTTGGGAGGGTTAGAAGTAAGTGAAGCTTCTTTATTGTTCTGATTTGGAAGGCTACTTCCTGTAAAGAGCAATAAATACTATTTTTTAAAAGATAACATATTGAAAATTCTCTCACATATGAAGACAAAAGAATTTAAATATCCAACTTCTAACTCTCCCAAAGGAGTAGCATGGTATACAAAATAATGTATGTCATGGAGAAGGTAAATACGGAGCTCCTATTTATCCCTCTCATGATACAAGCACAAGCAGACATTTAAAATGGAATTTGAAAGGCAACACATTTTAAACCAATAGAAGGATTTTTAACAATGCATAATTAATATGTGGAACTTAATGCCACTAAATATCATTTTGAGGCCAAGGGCTTGCTAGGAGTCAAAATAGTGAGACATGAGACTATCCAGTTTCATTAGATAGGATAAAATAATTTTTATAAAGGATAATAAACCCTCACATTCAATAAGCTAACCATTGACTCATTGGAGAAGGATGGAGACAGAAAAATTGATCATATGGACAGTTTATTCCTTCCTCCCCACTTGGCACTATTTTTTATATGCTATGAGTAGACCAAAAAAAATTTTGAGGGGAAAAAATGTGTGTGTCAAATTCATAATGGGGAAACTCTTACAATTTTAATTACAGAAGCATACTGTGCAACAGCAGTGGAGAAGGTGGAGAATGGTGATCTAATGCAGGTCTGGCTCAGCTTCACCCACCCACTGACCCTCCCACCCACAGCATGAGTATCTCAGGAAGCTAAATGATCCCTTCACCATTTCGTCCTCCTCCTTTGCTCTGCCCCAACAGTGACAGCAGGAGGAATGTTTTTTTCTGACTTATGTTTTTTTCTGTAATCAAACTCTCATAGTGGTAATGATATAAAATGCTTAGTAATTCTACTTAGTAAAATATATTAACATTTGAAATACCTGGAAAAAAAGGAGTCTGGAATCCACATTAGTGTTTGTCTTGAGGTGCTGAACCTGTAAGACCAAAAATTAAAAAAAAGTCAAGCATTGCACAGAGTATCAAGTTGAGTTTTGGTTTTTTCAAGACTGCTTAAAAGAAGCCTTAGGATACGTAACACTGCAAAAAAAGACCCAGGGCAGCAAGTCTCAGAGCCCAGGTCCACTAGGCTCATGCTATGGGGCTAAAAACAGCTGTATAGATATTCGGGTTTAGGTTGGAGCCTGGGTTCTGAAACCCAGCAAGGGGAATGGATCTCAGCCTGAAAGTCCACACTGCAGTCAACCCAGGCTCCAAGACTCACTGCCGTGGGTCTTTTTTTTTTTTTTTTTTTTTTTTTGCAGTACAGACATATCCTTAGAGGTCAGAGAGTGGTTCGGAAAGCTGATTCTAGAGTGAATTCCTTACTATGTGTAAAAATCTCAAAGAAAAGATGTGAAGAAACTGTATTATTTTTACCTCTCATTTGTATTACAGCATCCAGAGGCCCCAAATCAGGGCCCCAGTCATTGTGCTAGACCTTATACAAAAACACTCAGTGAGACAATTCCTGCCCCAAATACCTTACAATCCAGGGTCCTGCCCCTGCAAACATTCATGCCACTTGAGTAACTTTATACAAAGGACTAGATCAATAGTGCTAGTGCTTGCAAGATTAAGTCCTAAATTAAGACAAGATGCAACAAACTTAGGGAGAATGTCAGTAATAATGATAAAGTAGTAAGTAAAAAATATTTTAGAGTGTGCTTATAGTTAGGGCCCTACCAAATTCACGGCTATGAAAAATGCATCACGGTGAAACATGGTCTCCCCCCATGAAATCTGGTCTTTTGTGTGCTTTTACCCTATAAACGGATTTCGCGGGGGAGACCAGCGTTTCTCAAATTGGGGGTCCTGACCCAAAGGGAGTTGCGGGGGGGGGGTTATTTTAGGGGGGGTGCGGTATTGCCACCCTTACTTCTGCACTGCCTTCAGAGCTGGGTGCCAGAGCTAGGCAGCCAGAGAGTGGCGGCTGTTGGCCAGGCACCCAGCTCTGAAGACTGCCCCACCAGCAGCAGTGAAGTAAGGGTGGCAATACCATACCATGCCATCCATACTTCCGCGCTGGTACTGGTGGTGGCTCTGCTTTCACAGCTGGGCTCTCAGCCAGCAGCCACCACTCTCCAGCTGCCCAGCTCTGAAGGCAGCGCTGCTGCCAGCAGCAGTGCAGAAGTAAGGGTAGCAGTACTGCAACCCCCCCCCACCACCACCACCACCACACACACACACACAATTCCTTTTTGGGTCTGGACCTCTACAATTACAACAAAGTGAAATTTCAGATTTAAATAGCTGAAATAATGAAATTTATGATTTTTAAAATCCTATGACTGTGAAATTGACCAAAATGGACTGTGAATTTGGTAGGGCCCTAGTTATAATACCTGTAGTTATCTGCAATTGCTATTTATGCCCAATTGTCTAGCAGTGAAATCTCTCTGCTAGAATTAAAGTTAGGACCAGCTTTCTGTTTAAAGTTCAACTGTTCTATGTGCTCTAAAATCTGGACAGTCAATCAGATCGCATTGAAATTTGGTGTGCCTCATAGGGCGGAGGTAAAGTCAGTGAGCCACAATTGGGGTATTTGACCATGGGATTCCTGAGATACAGTCTCCAGAGGGGTTGGGGGGGGGGGGGGGCAACCCCCGGAAAAAAAATTTTTTTTTTTAAAAATATCACTTTTTTGGGGAAGGTTTTTTTTTTTTTTTTTTTTTGCTCAGAGACAGAGATCAAATCAGGGCTCAGATCATCAGGCTAGGGTCTAAAAAGCTTAAGTGTTACCCTCAACAGAGTGTATGGCACCCACCATGCTTTGGGGGAAATCAAATTAAAACATTATTTGAAAGAGTCTGCTTTTTCCAGTTACACCTATAAAGGCTTACGTGCATACTCACACCTCTAACGGATTATACTGAGCATGTGCACAGAGATAGGCAGGCTAACTATCTGGAAAACTACCTATACATCACAGAACTTAGGTGGCTCCAAAGGTACATTATGCTCATGGAACCATCCCAGGCACTGTATGTTCAAATCCAAACCCTGAGCAGAAATTTGAAGTAAAAACAAAACAAAAAAAGCAGGAATATTGCTCCAATCTGCCTCTGTCAAAGGGGGATTTTAATTTTTGTGAAACAATGTGAGTACCGGAGAATATTCAGAAGGCTATTTTTAAAAAAAGAAACAAAGATACACAAGCAAATGCTCTCTGGGAGGAAAAACTGAGGTGGAAGATAAGGTGGGAATAGAGGGTGAGGTATTGGGACACCAGGTGATAGAGAGGAGGGTGGTGACTAGGGGGAATGGGAAGGTAGGGGTGAGAGAGTGACAGAGGGCCTGGGGGGAATAGGGACGGGGCAGGGGCGCCTGTAAACCCACACTGCCTTCCCGTGCATGTTCTACAATCTGGGGGCCCTCAACCCATCTATTGGAGTGTGAACACCCCCCTTCCCTGCCCCCCTCATGTAAGCCAGGTTCTGGAGGGGGCTTGCCTTTCTGGGGTGGGGATGGGGGGTCTGAGCCCCCTCTCTATCCCCTCCCCATGTGAACCAGACATCCTCAGACCATGTACCAGGAATATACTGCTGAGACTGGGTATGCTTGACATATATCAGAAACTCTCCAGCACTGGGGAGGGGGAAGTGGAACACCCACTCACATGAATGAAACAGTTCACACCTCTCAGAGATGTTAAGGCTGTATCTATGGGCCAGACCCGTTGCTGATGGACGTGTAGACCCCATCCCTTCTATTCGCCCTCTAATTTCATACAAGTGTGCCAGCTCTTCTCTAGCTAAGGCCATGTCTACACTAGTAAACTTACAGCAGCACAGCTGTAACAATGCAGCTGCACCGCCGTAAGATCGCTCGTGTAGCCACTCTATGACGACGGAAGAGAGCTCTCCCATTGACATAATAAAACCGCCTCCAGGAGTGGCAGTAGCTATGTCGGCAGGAGAAACTCTCCCACTGCCATAGCGCTACGCACACAAGCACTTATGCTTGCAAAACTTGTGTTGTTCAGGAGTGTGGTTTTTTCACACCCCTGAGCGACATACATTTTGCAGACATAAGTGGTAGCGTTGACATGGTCTAAGTTGAAAAGCCCTTCCTGTTAAAATGACTCTTCTGAGGTCTTGTCTACACGACACACATTGTTGACAAAAGTCAGCTTTCATCAACAAAACAGTGGATGTGTAAACACTGAAATGCTCCTCCCACTGATTTAACTCCCTGGCTATGCTGACATAATAAAACCACCTCAAAGAGAGGCAAAGAACTTTTTGCGACATAGTTAGAGCAACAATGTAATTAAAGAGGCTTATGATCGTGGACATAACTTAAGTTGACTTAACTCTGTAGTGTAGATATGACCTTAGTACTCTGTGTGCTTACACAGATTGACTTGCAATTTGTTATGCTTTGTAGGAGTGTAGGGTAGGATTAATTATCCAAACGTGGGATCATTTGGGCAAGGGGTTCCTAAAATACAGCCCCCACTAAAAAAACAAACAAAAAACAACAACAACACTGGTTCACCCAAAGCATGCAATTCCAATAATCTCCTCTAAATGGTTCCAGAATTGAGGAATCTTTGAAGACAACTTCATTAAATGGAGCTATTGTAGACGGGAAGGGGTTGAAGAGAGGAAATTTGAGGGTAAAGTTCCAAAATACTTTATACAATAAATGGATACATTTCATGATGTCTCTAAAGAACAAGTATTTTATGAATTCATCCTTTTTCTGGCTCTGCTCCATATTTTCAGTGCCTACATTTCCTATTTATTGAAGGAAAATATTACTTTCTACAACTGCAAAAAGTAGAAGCACAAGGATCATATAAAAAACTCCTCTGTACTATATACAGTGAGGACTGTGTGTAGCCATTCAGTGGTTCAATGCAAGCATGACAATGCCAAATCTGAACAAAGAAATCTAGTGTTGGCACTGAACATGAACAACATGCAAACAAGAATTTCTTTTTCCTGCCAGAAAAAAAATGAACCAAAGCCTTTTGTTACTTGAGCTACTGCCCGTTTAAGGAGATTTTCTGTAACTTTTCAGCTGTTGGTTTTGTAAAGTTTCCTTTATCATCAGGAATATACTGTAATTCAATTTTTCCCTCTTAAATAAAATATTCACATACCATAATTAGGTATGTATATAAAATTCAGAATAAGAGAAACAATTTTTCCTAATTTGCCATAGCCAAAGAAAACAGTGCTTTATACTACAATACAGTCATTTGTCAATCTTCAAACCTTTGAAAATTCTTTAAATATATTCTTTAAACATCCAAAATTTCAGTTATTTAAAGCTTCTCCAATTGTCCAAACTATATACTTAGAACAATTAGGTAAACGTCATTTTCATTTATAGCACTTTATCTCAAAATATGAGTAACTCAATTTTGAAATGATACAAAACATTACCTTAGCTATGCCCTGTGAACTTTTTTCAAAGCCAAGAGCTTATGACCAACGTTCACCAGCTACATGTCAATGTCCTATAAACATCTAATACAGAGAAGCCTAAATACCAATGACTTTCAATGAGACTTTGGATCCTAAATCAGTCAAGGCATGCTTTGCTCAGCATTGCAATGCTTAAGGACCTTCAAGAATTTGGGCCCTAATCAATAATGGTCTAGTTTTCAAAGGTGCTGAGCACTGATTTCACTAGGATATATATGTGCTCAGAAATCCTGAAAAATCAAGCCATTTATGAAGGAGACCAACTTTAAGCACCCACGTGTAAAAAAGGTGTTAGAAGAATAAATCAGAAAACTAAAAACTGTGAGAAAACAAAAAACCCACTGGCTAATTCTCCATGAGTAAATCCAAGTGAGAAAACCATGCAAGACCGACAATAGCACTTTGAAACAGTAGATCATTATAAGAAAGTGAGGATACAGTCCTTATTTCACGATAGCACAATTTACTACATAAGTTGGGAAAAGAGTGTCCGGGTATAG